CCATTGTCCTCTGTGATGTATATGGATTGATTTACTGTAAAATCTATTTTAACAGTCTGACCATCAGGACTAAAAAAATCCTTTCCCACACTCAAAATCTTTGATTAAAATTGATGCACTGCAAGAGTTTATTTTGTGTCTTCATGTTCCCCAGAGACGCTGGAAAGCCTGGCTGAATGGCCTTTTTTTTTTCTTTGTAAATTATAGTGACCATGATTTATCAGTTTTGTCCAGCCAATTAGAAAAATTTTATTTATATATTTTTAATTCTTTTTGTTATTCCCATCCCTCCACCCTCTCCTCTTTAGCCACCATCAGCTTGTTTTCTATGTCTATGGGCCTGTTTCTGTTTTGTTTATTCATTTATTTTGTTTTTTTAGATTCCACAAATAAGTGAGATCATATGGTATTTGCCTTTCTCTGTCTGATGTATTTCACTTATCACAATACCCCTCTAGGTCCATCCATGTTGTTACAAATGGCAAGATTTTGGGGTTTTTACTGTTGAGTAATACTCCAGTGTGTGTGTGTGTGTGTGTGTGTGTGTGTGTGTGTGTGTGTGTACATACCACATCTTCTTATCCATTCATCTATTGATGGACATCTAGCAATTACTAGTAATACTGCAATAAACACAGGGTGTATATAGCTTTTTGAATTAGTGTTTTTGTTTTCTTCAGATAAACACCCAGAATTGAAATTGCTAGATTGTATGGAAGCTCTATTTTTAATTTTTTGAGGAATGTCCATTCCATACTGTTTTCCACAGTGGCTGCATTAATTTACAAAACAACAGTGTACCTGGGTTCCCCTTTCTCTACACTCTCACCAGCACTTGTTATTTGTTGATTTATTGATGACAGCCCTTTTGACAGGTGTGAGGTGATATCTCATTGTGGTTTTTAATTTGCATTTCCCTGATGATTAGTGATGTTGAGCATCTTTTCATATGTCTGTTGGCCATCTGTATGTCCTCTTGGGAGAAATGTCTATTCAGGTCCTCTGCTCATTTTTTAATTGGATTGTTTGTTGTTGTTGTTGTTTTGTTTTGTTTTTGGTGTTAAAATGTATGAGTTGTTTATATAGTTTGGATATTAACCCTTTATTGGATGTATCATTTGCTACTATCTTCTCCCATTTAGTAGGTTGTCTTTTTTATTTTGTTGATAGTTACCTTCACTGTGCAAAATTGTGAATATAGATGCAAAAATGCTCAACAAAGTATTAGCAAACTGAATTCAACAATACATTAAAAGGATTCTACACCATGACCACATTGGATTCATCCCAGGGATGCAACAATGGTTCAACATCCATAAATCAATGAATGTGATACATCACATTAGAAAACTAAAGGATAAAAACCATGTGATCATCTCAATAGATGCAGAAAGAACATTTGACCAAATTCAACATCCTTTTATGATAAAAACTCTCAAAAAAGTGAGTGTAGAAGGAACATGTCTAAGCATAATAAAGGCCATATATAACAAACTCGCAGCTAATATCATACTCAATGGTGAAAGGCTGAAAGCCTTTCATCTAAGATCAAGATGTCTACTATCACCACTTCTGTTCAACATAGTGTTGACAATCCTATCCATAGCAATCAGACAAGACACAGAAATAAAAGGCATCCACATTGGAAAGGAAGAAGTAAAATTCTCATAACATGATGACATAATACTGTATATAGAAAACCCTTAAAGACTCTACCAAAAAACTATTCAAACTAATGTCTTCAGTAACGTTGCAGGATACACAGTCAATACACAGAAATGTGTTGCGTTTCTATACACCAATAATGAATAATCAGAAAAAGGAATTAAGAAAATAATCCCATTTACAATTGCATCAAAACTTATAAACTACCTAGGAATAAATTCAACGAAAGAGGTGAAAGACCTGTAATCTGAAAACCAAAGATATTGAAGAAAGGTTGAACAAGATACAGATAAATGGAAGACTATACCTTGCTCATGGATTGGATTAATATTGTTAAAACGTCCTTACTACCTAAAGTAATATACAGATGCAATGCAATCCCTACTAAAATATCAATAGCATTCTCAAAATTAGAAAACCTAATCCTAAAATTTATATGAAACCACAAAGGGCCCCAAATAGCCAAAGAAATCTTGAGAAAGAACAAAGTGCTCCCTGATATTAAACTATACTGGAAAGCTACAATAATCAAAACAGTATGGTACTGGGCCGGCTGAGTGGCGCGTTGGTTGAGTTGGCTTGGGACACCAGCTCTGAGCACCAGGGCCCTAACTCGGATTCCACATGAGGGCCAGTGATGCTGCTCCCTCTACAGCTAAGATGGTCAACAACA